GGTCCCCTGGTGGCTTTATTTTGACCTATACCCAAATGAGGACCCCTCATCCTGAGCGGATTGACCGGCTCGACCTACTTGAGTGCCGCCGCCGTCTCTTCGTGCTTCATCTTCCTCGGCTACGTTCTTTTTTTGCGGAGCGAGAAAAGCTTCGCGAAGTGAGCACCGCCCTCACCGGCTTTGCATGATTCCTTGTGGGCTCGTGGCAATTCGAATCCCCTGTTGCTCGAACCTTTGGTTTTTCTTGGGGGGATGTCTGATTCCAGCGGGCCAAAACTCAAAGTGAATTGCACCCGGCATGAAACCCACCGGCCGGAAGGTCCTCTTTTCCAGTTCGCGTAAAATGGCGACGGAAACGAACATCTTAGGACCCTGAGGGCGGTGTTCAAGTGAAACCATGAGCTAATAGCTTGTAGGGGTCCAGCGTGTCTTGACACATTCCTAAAAAATTGAGCAACGCCCCCCCCCCCCCGCCCACACAAAAAAAAGAGATCCAAGTGGCCTTGACACACGCACCCACACACACACACACATACATACACATATGGAGAGAGAGAGAGAGAGAGAGAGAGAGAGAGAGAGAGAGAGAGAGAGAGAGAGAGAGAGAGAGAGAGAGAGAGAGAGAGAGAGAGAGAGAGAGAGAGAGAGAGAGAGTGCTCAAATATCCCCCGATTTCTTCCCTCAGCAAGCAACCTGCAGATCATGAGTGGAACACGCACCCTTCAGACTTTATGCGGACAGTTGAACCCTGCCATCTCAAATGAGGAGCGACTGGGTGTCATCGTGTGACCGTTGTTGAGGAAACAAACACCCCCCCCCCCGCCCAATGCACGAGTTCTGAGCAACGGGTTTCTGAGAAACTTTCAGGGGAGAAGGGGGGAGTCGCAATTTCTCCCCGATCCTGGCAGGTATATGCGGTCATAGGTGTCCTCTTTTTTCGTAAATCCGCCGACCCTCTGCCTCCCGTCCCAGCCTCCTGCAGAGGGGACCGGCGTGGGATGCAACTGGAAGTGATTGGAATCAATGATAGCCCCTGGAGGACACACCCGAACCCACAAAAAGTGGATTCCCAGGACCGGTCCCGGGACCGGTCCTGGGACCAGTCCTGGGACCAGTCCTGGGACCAGTGGACTGGTCCCAGGACCAGTCCCAGGACCGGGGTTTGGTCCTGGGACTGGTGTCGGACCAGTCCTGGGACCGGTCCTGGGGTCCCCAGGACCAGTCCCAGGAGCGGTTTGGTCCTGGGACTGGTCCCAGGACCGGTCCTGGGACTGGTCCTGGGACCGGGACCGGTCTGGGAAGCCGGGATCAAGTCCTGGTGTGACCGCTGGTATTGGGTCCCAATTCAAACTGCTGTGCTGCCACCTCAAACCGCTCCAGACACGTTTCCGGACTGGCACCCAGGACACTGGACAGGGTCCCAGGTCGTCACTCCCTGCGACCAAACCGGCCCGTGCGGTTATTGACGTCCTTGTGGTAGTAGAGGATCCCTGGATCTATTCTGCAAGAGAGTCCAATACGTCAAGTCAAACCGCGCCAGACTGGGACCAGCCTGGACAGGGTCCCAAATCCCGGTCCCTGCCGGAGGGCC